TACACTATGTTTTTGGCTACTACTTGGTGATCAATAAGTATGAATGCTTTTTGGATGAGTGACAGAACGAAACCTACTTCGAATAGGGTTTCCTATCAACAACATCCAACCACTAAACATTGTGTTTGTGGAGAAGTTCCGTTCTCTGAACTGTATGGTTTACTCGTGGAGGCTTCGTTGTACTTCTGAACAACAATGAAGGCATTACGACTAGATCATCCAGTTCAGAGGACGAGACTCCATCCAAATTATCCACCTGAGCTATAAATTTTCTAAACCACTGTGATTATTCATTATTTCAACTACACGGATGATTGACCGATCAACTGATTGGTTAGCTGACTGAATACAAGTGATTCCTTCACGTTATGCATCCATTCTTGACTTTTTTTATCTTCATCTATATATTTCAGCTACACGAAGGTCATTCATGTGCCTACTTACCATGGGGTGGTAAGGAATATTCAGTCAATGAATATGATGTACTTGTGTGGCAGAAACATTGAGATTTAAATTTTTAAATACAGTTTTGTACCGGAGACATCATTAGCTTCATACATCAGATGTTCTTTTCTTTTTTACCATGCCATTTTTTTGTTTGCAATCTTTGAAAACGTGTGAAAATAATACATCTTTACACAGTATTAATCTATTATCTTATTACTGAATCTACTGATGAATCGTGATATCCGGGGAAACGAATGCGAAACCTTTGGTTAGAGCACATATATACGATATTTACTTGATATTTAATAAAAGCAAATTTATTCTAGTTTATATATTATTAAATATTAAATTATAAACGTATGATGAGTTCCTTTTCGAAGCGAAGTAATATGATTTACTGTTTCATAAAACGTAGATAAATAAACCTCGTGGACCAGTGTGAAGATTAAGAAACTAGTAAAATGACTTTATATTAAGGTGATCGTATTCATCAATTACCATTCTAGGATATGTTGTAAAGTTGTTAGTTTTGTTATCAAGGTGGAGTGTGTTGAAAGGAAATGAATGATTATTTCAAAGGACACTGAATAGCGTGTGCTTTATAACGTTCGAAATGCAAGGTGAAACAACGTAAGAAGGAAATTTAAGTACCTGAACATTTTGAAACAAATTTCGAACATTCATTGCTGTAGAATAATGTTTGTGCTACTTTCTTTGTAAACTAAACTTGTATTAACGTTTCTGTAATCGCATTGAGGAAGGTTGACAGTAAAAGATGAATTGTTGTTTTTATTACGATGATGAAAATATAATTAATAGATTGTGTATATCTTTAACTATAGATAAGATATGGAAAATGAAACCACTGTTTCATTATTTGTATTTCCAAATGACAACATCCCCGACGTTTCTACACCACAGGAATTTCGTTTTCACGTCTGAGAAGTGTACCATGTTCTTTAAGATTTTCACTGACATGTTTAGTAGTTGAAATCAAGTTCAAGCAAGCTTTTCGACAGACTGTAAGTTTTGTTGTGATTCATTCTCTTCGTTAACTGTCTTGTTGTTGTCTTAGATTTAATGGAGTCGGCGAATATCGTAATTACTGTTAATTCTATTGGAGCGTTCAACTAAATGTATGAAGTGGATGAGAAATTGGTGTGCAAAATAACGGTTATATATACGGTTACAAACTTCATCTCGTGAGATACTTGTGGTGGTCAGCACTACTGTATGCTCGGAAAGAAAAAGGCTTCCTGTAATAATAATATAAAGAATAATTACAACATACGAGAACGTTAATGACAGCTAGTCGTTCTATCTGAATCCATTCATGATTATCAGGCATCAATATGAATACTAAAAACACATAAATATGAAAGCTGTTGTGTTTAGGGATTTAAAAATTTCTGGAAATCAACTGGTTACTGTATATTAACAAGTAGTGTCAAGTAATATACGAAAAATCAGTTGACTCAGGAAAAAATAAAAAAATAATTAAATTCACTTGGTTTTGTTTACTTGTATCTTCCAATTGTTGTTTAGGACTGTAATTGATCAGTTTCTTGTTGGCATATATGCATCCTGTGTGAATTGCCTCAATATTGCCTTAAGTTATGAGCTTTATAAGCAAAGATGGTTAGTGGCTAGTTTCGTCCCATTCGGGATTCGTCAGCTGGATGTACCTGTATCTCAGAGTTGGTGTTCACTCCGGGACTCGAAACCAATATCGTTCGCTTCAAACGCCAATTATTGCACGGTTCCTGTGATTCCTCACTCATCGTTGATGAGAAATTCTTGGGTGTGATGAAAAACTTTAGAAATAAGTGATTGATTAACTCGGTTTTGAATGTGTATGGTCATGTGATAATGAACAAACATTTTGTCCACATAGTTCCCCTTATTATCTTAAAGACACCAAGAACGAAGATTGGTGCAGAGGAATATGAATTCAGTTTATTTCGTGAGGCTCTCTTCAGCTGCTTATAACCTAAAATATTCGAAAATCAACGTGATTACAGATATTGACATAAGTATACATACGAGGGTGATTAAAGGTGAATATATGTATCATGATGTAGCGAAGATTTCAATAGAATTAATAAGGTCATAAAATTTTTTGTTGCGGATGACCTTATTCTGCACCAATCTTCGTTCTTGCTGTCTTTAAAACATTTTGTCTTCTGTAATAATTTGTTAATTGGCTGTAAACTGTGCATCTTTGTAATGTGATGGGTTCAAATCTAAGTAGTATAAAGTGATTTGATTGAATATGAGAATTTACACTTTTACATTTGAATTTTATTTTGAATAAATAATTCTGTCTGACTGTTCCATCGGAGTTTTGATAACAATTTTAACTTCTGAAAAAAGACACCAATTGTGTTTGACCACCCTGTGAATGTATATCGAGATAAACGTTTCTCGATCAATTAGCAATGGAATTAGTTGCTTCGGCGTTCACTTATGTATTAGTGCGTGTACAGTAGGCCTGACCTAACGTTTACAATACAAATAAGCACACTGCTTACCAGGAAGGTTGGCTTGTGAGAACACTTTGTGGCGCATGTTAAAAAAGATCTTGGGGATTCAGGCATTTTCCATAAGATTGAAAATCGAAGTGCACAATATTGGATGCTGCTGTCCCCAAACCACTGTTTAAATTTTCTCGTCAGTTAACATGCTCATTCACGAATTATTGTCGTACCTCAAGGAATCGCACTCATGATTGTGATGCACATTACCACACAGTCCAGTAACCTTCAATATATGAAGGCCGGGCAGTGAATGTTGGTTGTAAACCTTCATGAACATTATGATAACAGTATTCAAACTACCTCGTTGGTATAATCGGCTGTGAGGATCCTCTTGGTTTTCTACAGCGGTTCTTCAACATACAAATTTAATATACGTCTTCCAATCCTAGTGGAAATGAGAGTCGCACGCTGAATAATGGCATTACCTCGCTCTTTCACTAGTTCAGATGGCGCTCTTTAACGCTTCAAGCGATTGGAACACTACCAGATACAAAGTATTCAAGAACACGCTATCCTTGTCCGTGATAACGTTCGAGACAATAGAGCTTGTACTTTGTACGTTATTAACGTTCATAATTTGGAGAAAAGTTGATATATCGAGAAGTAATTGCATTTTATATCAATTCTCAGAAATGAATAACCAATTATTACCTAAATTCACTTGGTATTATTTGGTTGTATCTTGTAACATTAACTCTTGGATGCAGGTACATCCAGCTGACGAGTCCCAAATAGGATGAAACGCGCGTTCTGAACTCCACTGCTAGCCACCATTCATCTTTACTTATAAAACAATTATTACCTATTTAAAGCTAATTATTTAGTCGGAAGAAACGGAATGAGAAAATTTCACAAATAGGATGGAACAAAGTTTGTTTTAAAAAATACAAAAATCTTCGTGTGTCAAATGCATTCGAATCCCGCGTTCGGGATCGTAGATGCGCACTGCTGACTAAATGACCGCCCAGTACTTCCAGGTTTTCCAGGGTGGTCTAGTTTAAAATGGACTCATAAATTCAACCATTAAATTACTACAATTTCCACAAACCCTCATTTTGAAAATGATATTCTATTAATTTTGGTTAAGAATAATATTAAGCTTGAATAACATAATTGTCAACTTTATCAATGATCCATTCATCTGTCAGTATTTATTATAAGTAACTTGTATGCGGATAAATTACCAAACACACATTAGGCCATTTTTAGTAAGGAATGTTGAATGTTTATTAAGACAAAGTATTAATAACCGTCATTTTTACTTACTATAACCTTTAGTTATCTCGATAAAATGTATTAGTGATGAGTTATGTAGATTCATCTTACAAACTAATTCGCAACTATCTAATGAGATAAACTCATTATCATAATAGATAATTTGGACTAGAGTAAAATACTCAAATAAATTTCCATCTAGTCAAATAGAATGATTTACCTATAAATGGATGTTGTTTACTGAATAATAAGTTACAAGCACTCATTCGAGTCCTGGAATGAACTTTAATTCTGAGATGCAGGTACATCCAGCTGACAAGTTCCAACCGGGACGAATGTCACGTCCTGCATTCCATCACTAGTCATCAACCATCTTTGCTTATACCTTTGCTTGTGCCTTAATGACAATATCAAGGCAATCCTCACAGGATATACATATGCCAATAAGAAACTGATTAATCTCTGTCTTAAACATTGTGGAGATAAGCATGACAAACTTATTTTGTAAATAGTTTTTGATATTATTTGCATCAGTTTTGTTAATTCTCATAGTTTGTGCTTTTACCACAAATGTTTGTAAAAGTTGTTGTCTCCACTGTTGTTCTCTTTTACTACAATGCTAGTAACCATAGTACCATTCTGTCGATAGAATTTGATGTGCTCTGATAGAACGAGTAAAACATCATTGTGATTAGCACTCAGTTATCAGTCAATTGCGAGTAATGTTTGTCCAATTAGTCTTTTGAATACATAAAGGACTCAGTTTTAAGCAATCAAAGACAATGAACAAACAGCAGTTATTTTTAATTTCATTTTACTAAGAAATCTTTGTAGTATGTTTTTGTTATAATGTTTTTATTGATAATTGTACATCAAGTTATTTTTTAACACGAAGAGATACACTTTTATCTAATCATTTTATTGTCCCTTCTAATTAAATGGAAACAGTTATACAAGAGATAATCTTTCGATGATCTTGGAGATCAGAACAACAAAATCAGTTTCACTTTTTCCAAACTAAAACTTCATATTCTTTCACTGAGTGTTCTTTACCACCCCATGGTAAATATGCACATTCATGGCCACTATGTACCTAAATGATGCAAAAGGTTACGATTAAATAAGTGGACAATATTTTATTTATATTAAAAATAAACACACACAATAATCTGAGTTGAATAGATTATTGACTGACCTCAGACAAATACTGAAATGAAAGTAGCAGTGAAGCGCTATTTCTTCCTATGGTGAGACTCCTCGGCGATATGTAGTGAAGATACTATCTGGGGTCAAGAACAGTATATATATTTGTATTAAGGTCTCTCTAATTACACCTAACCATTAAACCACTGAACTGGTAGCCGATGCTTTATACTTCCAACTTCACTCAATTCGGCAACTTTTCACAACCATCTTCCAACGTCATAGATGATGTTTATACCTTACTCTACGTACCTGATGCAAACTATGAAATTCCACAAGCCTCACAACACCGTGTAATGAGAATCAATATATACTTACTTGTGATCAGATTCGTGGTGTAATTCACGTAGTTGTAATTAAAACTCATTACCAGTAGAGTTCAGTCGTGACATAAGTGGATCAAACATAAGTTATAATGAATGATATGGAGAATCAGTTAGAGTTAAACATATAAAATATTGACTTCTTACTCAGTGCTGTAAAGATCAGGCGTTCAACACGAAACTCAAATGTCCTGTTTTGGTCCTCAATGGTGTTCTGAATTCCCTCTGCTGAGATGCCTCATACTAGGACAAGAGAGCTGTCCAGTGTCCCCTAATTTTCACTGGTTATACAACTAAGTTCATTTAGTGATGTAAACTATGGAATTCAATATTCTCCATAACACCATGATACGAATCTGTGTTTCATCCAAGTCCGTGGACTTCATAGTTTCAAACAGCTTTTTTTATTTTCAATACATCAATCGATGGGAGACAGTGTGATACAATTGTTTGAAATGTCCAACATAGAAATTGAAAACATAACGTCCAGAACATGGGATTGTGAAACGTTTAATAAAGATATGCAGATGTGATAATTTCTGGTGTGGTATGGGACATATGAACTGGTAAGTTAACTATAACATAATATATTTTTTCATTTTCTATAGAGCTATTCATACTAGATAGCATTTTTTCAGTGTACAACGTATATGGAATTAATCTGATCATGCAGTTCATTAGCATAAGAGAATTCACTAAATGTCTTGTTAAAATAGTTTATCTAATCAGAGAAAACAGGATATAACACAAGTGGTTAGGTCTACTCACCTTTCCAACAGATGGTTCTCCATTAATTGAAGATTTGGCTATGTATAGTGGATCAAAACCTGACATGCCAGCAATGATTGCATTTTTCGGCACACCACCATATGATGCATGTAACCATTCATATCTATACAGAATGAAAATAATCAACAAAGTATTTATGTTCCAGTTATCTAAACCGAATTGAACTATATAATCAATTAATTGATGAGAAAAAAAGAAAATAAGATCAATACTGGTTTGGGAGGCTCCTCAAAAATAACAGATTGAACAAATATACTCATGATCTCAGCTGTCCACAAAAACCCCTTCTGACACCAATCACCATATGCTCACTCGTGACTGGCTTCAAGGGGTATTTCTTGGAGTTCTAGTGACAGGCAGTGAACAGTAGATTTCAACCGAGTCTGATGTGAGTGTTGGACGACGGCACAATTTCATGAAATGATTAAAGTTAGACATTAAGACCGTTGGATAGATTAAGCATTTGTGAGAGAGACTGATATGTCCTGGGTTTGAATTTCACAAGGCAGGATCGTGCATGCTCACTGCTGATGAGTCCTTTATTAGGACGAAACAGCCGTCCAGTGCTTCCAGGTTTCCCATGGTGGTTTAGCTTCAACTGACTCATGATCTCAACCATTGAAATTACTATAATATCCACAAGAACCCCTTCTGACACAAGTATACATGTTGTTTATTTGAGTTTATCTTTGAAATGTATTAACTTATTTGTAGAGAACAAAATCTGAAATACTTTTCTATATAAAGTAAAGTTAAACGTACATTTGTTCCTAACCAATAATATCCCAAGCTGCCAGCTTTGGGGAAATTTTGGGGAAATGAGACGCAAACACCAAAATTTCCCCAAAATTTACTATAGCGGCTTCCCCAAAATGGACCACATTTTCCCCAAAGTTGTCAGCTTGGGATACATTTGTAACTATTCGCTGCTTAAAAGTACATGTTATTCATGCGTGAATATAAAGACCACGGGGATTCTTAAAATATAAGTTAAATATGATATGACAAATTACATATAATGAATCACTTTTAGTGATATATAAACTTAAATATTATTATTTGTGTGGTTAGTTTCAGATTTATTATGGATATTATTAATGAAATTGAAATGACTGGGAACATTTTCTAATATCTCAAATATGTAGATACACTTTACAACAAACAAGCTATTAGGTATCACTGTCATGGTTGGACTTGATAGTTTCAAATAAACTAAGCATTGGGTAGAAAGCTAACAGTAAATATACTTTTGTTATATCCTAATGAGTATAAAATAGTTGTATTTCTGACGTTTCATGACTTAATGTAAGCCACTTCTTCAGATAAAAGGAATACAATTTTTCTACTCATTGGAATATACCAAAAATATATTTATTCTAACAAGCTACTAGTGGTACTAAAATTAATATCTGTAAACGTCGATAAAGCTGAAATTTGATTTTGTTCCATGAAACTGTATGTCCAGTAATATCAGTCAAAATACAAAGTTAAAAACATCACTGAATAACATAAATCCTATGCGTACACTATTATTAAGAAAATTCAATACTTTTCAATGTATATATTACTTTGAGACCACTTTTCTTGAAACCTGTCTATCAGAAAATATTTCATTTTACAATATGTGATACAATAACTCATACCAGAAAATGATAAAATGTACCCTTGATGTCCTGAAAATGAGGTATCACACAGGACTTCATATTCTCTTGTATTCTTTTCTTCACCACCATATGGATAATAAGCTGCATTATGTCCAGTTGCAGCCTTCCCAGGAATCCATTGACCATCGTGTTTGCAACGAACCACATAGATACCACGAGTAACACTGAGAGCATTATTAGGGACATTTCCATCCTTAGCAGGTACCCATGATAGAGGAATCTGAATCCCTTTGCCTATTTTAGCCATATGAACAAAAACCTCTCTACATTCGAACGGAAAGAAAAACACTTAATATGTTCTCAGTATATGTAATGGGGTAATAATGTGAAAAACGAATTATTTCAGATATATAATAACTTAGTGTGCGTTAGTAACTAACTTCAAGGGGGTTTTGGTGAAAAACCATGACCAATAGAGTCCAAGCATTTTGAGGATGAGACAATATTACTATTAATAATGATTGTTGATAGCTTAATTTTGTAAAGTGATTGAAGTTAGAAATATAAACCAACGAATTTCAGCTTAGTGGTCTAACAGTTATGGGCTTGCCACAAAGTCTGAATGTTCATTGTTTGTCACCTGGTGGGTGTTACCTATATGCCCAATACTAAGACGAAACAGTTATTCACTTTTTATATGTTCTCATTGGTAGTCAGAATAACGTCAATTTTTGTTGTCAAACTGAAATATAGATCAACCGAATATGAATTCTATAAACGGATTTAGTCAACCAGGAGATGTTTATTCCTTCTGGACAGCAAATGAATTAAACCTTATGTGTTATCCCTAGCGATACGAGAAATACTGGTCTCATGTTCAAGCATTTATCTCATTTATATATTTTAGTATGGTAGCAGTGTATATGTGGAACTAGTTACAACATAAACAGTAAGCAATAGATGAACTAATGTGAATAAACAATCATTTTATCATTTGTTTGTACAACGTTTTCATTTACATGTAAATGTGATTGTCTTGTTTTATCATCTAATATCAAACTGATGATATTCCCTGACTTATGCCATAAGTATGAATTTTATTTGTGACGATTTGTATATTTTCCGTAGTTTGTATCTCAGTGTGAACATCGACACTAGGAAGCTGGTGCATTAAACTGATGAGTGGCGAATACAGAGAAACATGCTGCCTGAATTGCAATTTTTAGCAGCTGTCTTACTAGAAACTTTCAATGAATTTTATTAGGTGCCTAATTTAGACATAAATTATTAATCGTTATGTTGGAAACGTTATTTGTCAATCATTGTATGATCTAATAAAATTTTGATACATGAATGATTCAAATAAACTTCCAAAATATTTAATAGATTGAAAATATCACTTTGGGTTCGACCTCTGGAAGGGTCATCAGGGTGCGTTGATGAAGAGTCATATACTAGGGTGAAACAACTGTTTACTGCTCCATGGTTTTCAACTAACATCGACATGTAATAAATATTTAATACATATTAAAACCACCCTCAATAAAACCTATTTAACGAGATGAAATATTTACTCTAAACATAAAAGTAAGTAAATGGGATAAATTATTGTAAACATATCAGTGATTATCAGAAGGGGTTTTGTGGAGATTTTAGAAATATCATTGATTGAAATCATGAGTCAGTTGAAGTAAGACCACCATGGAGAACCTGGAAGCACTGGATGACTTTTTCCTCCTATTGTGGGACTCCTCAGCAGTGCGCACCCACAGCTCAGTGGCGTAGTTGGTTAGGCGTCTGGCGCGAGAATGATAGGTCCTGTGTCCGAATCTCACGAGGTGCGTGATCGTGGATGCGCACTGCCGAGGAGTCCCGCAATAGGACGAAACGGCCGTCTAGTGCTTCCAGGTTTTCCATGGTGGTATAGCTACAATCGACTCATGATTTCGATCAGTGAAATATCAGTGATTACTAGTATTAGCAATTATTCTAAACTAACCGTTAGATTAAAAGATATACTATGAAAATGAAATATGCAAAACTAATAACATACCTTATTGCTTAATGATACCAAAAACACAGAGAACTTATTTAGTAAAACATATATTTATAACGGAATTCTGTTTAATGTCTACCATACAATCATAACACCACATGACTGTTACAAACATAGACATGAAAAGATAGTTATTTAGGTGTTATACATTAAAAATTGGTTTTGTCGAGTTCACCCACATTTATTAAACTAAATCTACAATTTTTTTTATGATTCATCTGCACATCTATAATTGTTAATTTACTTAGAATAGAAGTCGAATACACAGATAAGCACAAATGGATTAACCAAAAAGTACTTTTACATCTGTTGTTTTATTGTTGTTGTTGTTATTTCATTGTATTATTTGATTTCTTGAGGTAGATGTTGACCTTGGTTCTAGTATCAATGCAAGAAGTTACCATTTATATTTCATTAATTTAACCACATTGAAAGAAAAAGCTCAACTTTAAAGGACCTTCATAATTAAGTAAAGTTAATGTGAATCTTTATGTATTGAATAGTTAGAATATACCATAAGTTTATGAAATGAGTTCGTTACTAATTATTCTCGTGTTTAAAACACGCCGATGTTCAATAAATCTAATGTGTGGTCATCTATTTTAATTAGTCAGTTATAATCAACATAGAACATGACAGAAATGTACGTTGGCTGAAGTTGTCAAAGCCTGCGAAACCATAATGAGTTGAAATTAATAAGACGAATAGCGAAAGAATCCCAACAGTGTTATGGAAATGATGATAGAGAAGACAAAATTATTGAGAAGGTGGTAGGAAGAATATATATATATATATATATATATATATATATATATATATATATATATATATACGGAAGAGTCATGGAAAATATAATCTAGATTATGATCAAAGTGAATAGTTTTATTTATTTATTATTATTATAAGCTTTATTCAATATTATATTTTCGGTACAATATAGAATTCTCAGCACAAAGTATTTCAACAAGTTTCCGTTTCTTTCTTCTGGGTCGGTCCTGACGATAAATATTGAGTGATAGCCAGTTAGATGTTAGCAGTCCAGTACATAAACATCTGAATAATGTATATTCTTTTCTCTGCATATTGCCAGCGACCACATTATCTCTTATTGAGCTTTTAGTAACTTTGACAACGAAAGGTTGTAAACTTTTCAGAAATGCACAAGGATGGGTTATGCGATTAATATACATAATGATATATGAAAACAAACAAAAATAGATAACTTGTTGAAATATTTAGATGACAGGAACAGGTAGCCCAGATGCTCAAGCAGGCTGCCCAATTATGATGGGTTCTGGATTATATCACCCAAAGTCTAAAATCACTGTATTTATTTTCACTATACTTTAGAACCTTGATATGCATAGAGTTGAGCTAGTTGACAAAAATAGAAATTTGAGATTCCAAGTTTTTATTATGTAAAATAATGTTCACTTTTACAATGTATGCAAATAACCATGTAATTGAGAAGTTGTATCTCATTCTTTATGAGTTAATCGCTAAAAAAAACATTCGAAAATCATCATCATTAGGTTAAATACAAGCTGTAGGACATGATCTATTCCACACTACAACAGTTAACTAATAATACTGATAATCTTATGAAAGTGAATGTCACTTCAGTGAATATTTCTTTTATGGGTATTGCTAATGTCGTGGTAGCTTTCTTGTCGTGAACATACGCCATGTGGAGAAAAATCAAAACTCGTACAAGCTTAAGTCCTCATAAATTCACTTCGGTGTAAAACCAATGATATTGTTTTTCAAATAATTGTACCCAGTGTAGTTAAACAAGTGATGGACGGATGGGAGTTTAGTGGTCAGAGGTTAGGTGTTCCTACCTAAGATAGGAAGTTCTAAGTTCTATTCCCGCCTGCAAGACTATGCATACTCACTGCTGAGGAGTCCCATTGTAGAACGAAAGAGATGTCCAGTATATCCTGGGTTATAATGGTGGTCTAGCTAAGATCAGGTCGTGTTTTAAACTACAAATTCTGCAATGTCCATAAATCTTCCCATGATAATAAAATAAACGATTTTTACAATCTCACGATACGAGTAGGCCTCAACATAAACAAGGGGAAAATCAAGGTCCTCAAATACTACACGAAGAACACCAACTCAGTCACACTTGATGGCGAAACTCTGGAAAATGTGGGATCCTTCACGTAACTGGGAAGCATCATCGATGAACGAGGAGCATCAGATGTAGAAGTAAAGACGAGGATTGGAAAAGCAAGGTCCGCATTCCTACAACTGAAGAACATATGCAAATTAAAACAACTTTCAACCAATATCAAAGTCAGAATATTCAATACGAACGTCGAAACAGTCAGTTCTACTGTACGGATCTGAAACTTGAAGAACTACTATAACCATCATCAAGAAGGTACAAGTATTTATAAATGGTTGTCTACGCAAGATACTCAACATCCAATGGCCGGATACCATCATCAACAGCCTTCTGTGGGAGAGTACAAATCAGCTTGCAGCTGAGGAAGAAATTAAGAAAAGACGATGGAAATGGATAGAACATACATTACGCAAATCGTCAAACTGCATCATGGGGCAAGTGCTAACTTGGAATCCTGAAGAGAAGCAGAAAAGAGGAAGGCCAAAATAGCACAATGCGTCAGGAGATCGAATCAGATATGAAAAGGATGAATAACAACTGGAAGGAGCTGGAAATGAACTGCCCAGAACAGGGTTGGATGGAGAATGGTGGTGGGTGGCCTATGTTCCTCTACAAGGAGTAACAGGCGTAAGTAAGTAACGATATGAGTTACTGAAAAATATTTCATAAACGTTATGATTAAACAGGTTTTGAGTGACACTTTGCTGCGTTGGTCTAAAAACAAACTCTTTTCTCGACAGGTACGTTTAACATATTTTTTCACTAGAAAACAACTGGTACTAGTCTATTGGAGACAGGATCTTTATTTCGAAGTAAAACGTCTTCATAAAGTACGCTTTATTCCCGGTAGTTTTTTTTCAGCTAAATGGTGTAATCATGAAACTCCCATTGTCCTTCTGGACAGCATGATCAACACAAAACTTCAGGTGGAGATAATCTACTTTAATTTCTATACCAAATGACTGACGAATTAATCTGTCGACGTTGATTCTGACTGGTTGTTGACGTTTGCCCTATCATTATTTGCATATTTATTTTGATTGATTTCCCATTTTGATCTGATTTTCGATTATATGGTTTTTCTTACTGGCCAATAAACTAGGTCACTTTCGATGTTTGCCCCGGTTACTAACTGACCTGATTATCAAGCTTAAAAAATTCCTCAGTTTTTCTTATACCGCTCTGTCCAAACTTTAAACATATCCCCTGTCAAAAGTGTATCCTCAATCGTCCACTTGTTTATGTAGACGAATTTGAAAGGGATTATCATTTTGTCAAATGTATTGTTTCATGTAACAAATAACTTTTCTGGTTTATACGCTAATATCTATTCCAACCAGCCTCTATAATCTTGTAATTTCTGATATATCCTTTATTTATGGTAGGTTGATGAATTCTCACATTTGATTTCGTCTTTATTGATGAGATTATATGATATTTTTCGATGAAGTTGCGTGGATAGTTGTTCTTTTGAAAAGCAATTAGGGCAAACATCAATAACAATCAGTTAACACGAATGTTGATAGAACAAGCCGTCAGTCATTTGACGTAAAAATTCAAATAGATTACATCCATCTGAAGTTTGTGTTAATATTGTTATCCAGGAAGATATAGCATAGCACATCATCCAGTTCAAAGTAAGCTCTACATAAATGATTCATCTGATCCATAAATTTTCTGCACCATCTCGATAAACGTAGGACCAGTATGTTATAGTTTTCATATTATCATAAATCACTGAAAATAGCAACGTTTATTTAATCATATGAAACTGCTCATTATTTTTGAGGGTTTTTACTGGTAAAAATGATTTTTTTTAAATATACCAGCCTAATAAAGTTGATGAACATCAACATTCACTAGTTACATGAATAACATACTGACATTTGAAGCAAATGTTTACTCTTTTGAAGTCTCAACATGAATATTCATATTTAGATCCAAGGAAATCCAGATAATATCGTCTCAAATACAGATCAAAATATACATCTTCCATCAATTCCTCCTGTTTATCACTGTAGCGGTAAACAAATCCCCAAAATAAATAGCTCTGTAAGTTTTCGACATTGGATGCTAATCAGATTAGTTTTAGTGGGGGCTTAGCGACATTTCGCTGGCCCTACATCACCATGTTTAACAATAGATAATGTAGTATTTTTATAGAATAAAGTACATTGAACTTTTGTTATTATTTCACAGATTATATGTTATTTTTATTATTAAAACAAAGGAATTTATGAATAAGGAATGTTATTATTAAGTTTAGTTTACTTTTATGCTTTGAATTAACAAAGAAAACAGTAAATACAATAATAATAGTGTGGTATGTGCTACTTATATTGACATATGTAGTAGATGATGTTAGTCGTGTACGAAAGGTCTGGCAGTAGAGAGACAAGAGGATCGAACAGTAAAGAATGGAAACAGGATGCAATTTGTATGAAAATGCAAGGACAATGAAGTCTGAGTCATTATGAGACAATCGGTGAACATTTTGCAAATTACGTATTTACTATATGATTGTTAGATTTTATTAACAAGTACTGTAATTTTGTGTCAAATACATTCGATTGTCCCCACCCGTGTTCTTGTTCACTACAATCGTAATAATACAATATGTATATTAATCCAACATAGAAATAAACATTTATAGTAGTATGAAACAGATCATTCTTATCTAGGTAATACAAAACTATACAGGTATCTCATACATGTTTTCATTTTAATCAGTTAACTAATATTAAAACATAATCATATGTATCAGAAGAGGTTTTGTGGAGTTTGTAGTAATTTCAATAGTTCAGCTCATGATTCACTTGAAGGTAGACCACTATGGAAAACCTGGAGGAACTAGATGGCCGTTTCGTCCTAGTATGGGACTCCTCAGCAGTGCGCAT